CTAAATGCATTTAGGACAAATAACATTTAAATGATAATTTTGCTACTGTTTCTGCTTGGACATGTTACACATATCAAATCAATTTGGGTTATACATTTTCATTTTAATTTTGCTACTTATAAAGCATTAAAATAGTATGCACTTTACAACTTAAGACTACTGTTGGAAATGGCAAATGTAAATAATATAATTTAATTTTCAATTTCATTCTGCACCAAATTTTGCAGGCGTGGAGGTGATGGAAAATGTCAATTTAAATACAGAATTACAATGCCATTTTGAACATTGCGTTGCCATTTTGAATATTGCATTGTCATTTTGCATATTGTATTGCCATTCTGCATATTGCATTGCAAATTGAATTTTGCTACACATATGCTTCCATACCATACACCCCTCTTGGTCGTCGACTGCGAGTGACGTCACTCCCCATACAATCACGCCCCACAGTTTAGACCCACCCCTGACGCTGATTGACAGGTTTCCGTGTAAGGCGTCGGAAATTCAAATGCAAAATGAATTGCGATTGCGTTTGAGTTTTGGCAGGCTACATACGCGACGCAGAGAAAGTGAAAAAGCAGACTTTGGACTTTGCTTTTTCATTTGAAATTTGGCAGTCAGTGTTCGTTCGCGAAAGCGAAAAAGCAAACGGTATTGCAAAATTTGCATTTGCATTTGAATTATGTCACACTTTATGCGTCCACATATGGAAAACGCAATTGCAAATCCAATTTTCAATTCCTTTTGAAAAATGTCCGGGATTTCTCTCCATAGGAACGTTTAATACTATATCTTACCTTATATTTAAGTATAACCTATATTTAGCCGATCAAGCAGATACATATTGAACTGACAAGAACGGAGCAATTTAACATTTATTGTGGTTTTCAACAACTCAAAATTGCGATTAAACTGAATGAGGTTAAACATGTATATTAACGTAACATTTATACTCACAGGAGTGCCTTTAAATGGGGCTATCAAGGGATGATCAATAATTGTTTTAATTAGCTTTCGCTGTCGCTTTATCTCATAACGGTCTTTCTGATTCGAAACACTACTTTTCTCGAGATTGCGAGCTTGAGCTGCACTCAAACGCCCAGCACGTGTCCCCCATCCATCCATTCATCCATCCAGCTTCTGTACCCTCGTGTCCTATTCAGGGTCGCTGGGGGTTCGGAGCCTATCACAGAAGCTACGGCACAGGGCAAGGAATGTGTCCCTAGTGACCACACAAAATAAATGGCAGGGCCAGAACACTCTCTATGACGGGATTGTTTTCTAACCCACAGCGAAAATGAGGCACACAGCTTTAGATAATAATAATAATAATAATAAACTATAATAATTATTATTATTATTGATGTTGCTGTTGATAATAATAAATTATTAATTAATTTCATTGATCACTAATAATAATTAATAATAAATACTTGCCTTGGTGACTGTGTGCAGTTCTAATTAAAAATGGGCTGTCAAACAAAACTGCTGCAGGCCTTGCATGGGCTTACTCACAGGGGGCCTGTGTGGGTTTTCTGTGGGCAAGCCCAACTGTGGGTTGGCCCATAGAAAACCCACATAGGGGACCCAAGGGGCAAAACTGCTGCAGGCCCCGCGTGGGCTAACCCGCATGGGCCCTGCGTGAGATTAGTGTGGGTTTGCCCTGCCCACACTGACCCACAGTAAACCCACACCTGCCCATGCAGGGCCCAAATGGGCATGATTGCTGGGTTGTTTGTAAAACCACAACTAAAATACTCAGCTATATGCTCCATGCTGCTAAGACCAAGTATACATCTGCCATTACATGCGCATTTGTGAATGGATTTAAGTCAGCACTCAACATTCAATGAAAAGTTAAAAGACAGAAAAAAGTCTGAATTCCGACATAATAAGTCAGAATTCTGAGATAAAAAAGAATTCTGACTTAATACGAGTTTTTATCTCAGAATTCTGACTTTTTATCTTGGAATTCTAACTTAAGTCAGAAAATAAAAAGTCTGAAATAAAAAGTCAGAATTCTGAGATAAATGTTTTTTTTTCTCCTCCGGGTGGTGGAAACGGGCTTCCATACCAATTCTCCCATGAGCATAAATCAAAAAAGCACATAGCTTTCACTTAAGTGTATTCTTCCATCTAGTTCAGCCTGGGGTTTACATGTGCTTAGGCTACAAATGTACTTTGGGTGGAGAAACACAAAATGTGGGTATGTTCCACACATTCCACCACTGACTGAAGTGGTTTTATATGCATTTTTCGCAACACGCTCTGGAGTGCTGTATTAAACTTCTGGGATATTGATCTGGTCAGTGAAGTAGAAGAGGGGGTTGTTAATCAATTTCAGCTGCTCTGGGGTTAATGAAATTAACAACAGATGTACTAGAGTGGCAACAATGAAATGACCCTTAAAACAGGAATGGTTTAATAGTTGGAGGCCACTGACATTTTTTCTGACTGTTTTTTCAGTATTGCAATACATGCCATTGCTAGAAGGTTTGCTGTGTCTCCCTGCACAGTCTCATGGGCATGGAGGAGATTCCAGGAGACAGACAGTTACTCTATGAGAGCTGGACAGGGCTGTAGAAGGTCCTTAACCCATCAGCAGGACCAGTATCTGCTCCTTTGTGCAAAGAGGAACAGGATGAGCACTGCCAGAGCCCTAGAAAATGACTTCCAGCAGGCCACTGATGTGAATGTCTCTGACCAAACAATCAGAAACAGACATCATGAGGGTGACCTGAGGACCCGATGTTGTCTAGTTGGCCATGTGCCCGCTGTCTGGCACTGTGAAGCTTGATTGTCTTTTGCCATAGAATACGAGAATTGGCAGGTCTGCCACTGGTCCCCTGTGCTTTTCACAGATGAGCAAATGTAACAGATGTGAAAGGGTCAGGATGGATTGCTTCATGTTGCGAGAGTATGCAGGCAGTTCCTGAAGGAAGAAGGAGTTGATACCATTGACTGGGCCCCATGCTCACCAGAACTAAATCCAATAGAATAGCTGTGGGACATTATGTTTCGGTCCATCAGACTTTCCAGGAACTCAGTGATGCCCTGGTCCACATCTGGAAGGGGATCCCCCAGGACACCATCCATCATCTCATTAGGAGCATCAAATAGGGCCCTTGGTCTTGTGAACACAGTAACTCTAAAATTATTTCATGGATCTTTTTTAAACTTTTTAGGCACATCGTGGAAAATGTGCAAGTGATCAAATTTTGAAACAGATCAGCCCAAAATTGAAGCAGCGACACATAGTGATAGCAAAGAGAAGGGCATCACAGATACTTGAGCAGCATGATTTCTGGCCCAGGGTGGTTGGGCTCCTCCTTGTTCCTCCCAAGCTTTCTTCCTACTAGGGAGTTTTTCCTTCCCACCTCTGGTTTGCTCACTGGGGGCGTTGGGCAGGGATAATATAAAGCCCTTTGAGACAATGTAATGTTATGAAAATGCACTATGAAAAAATAAATGAAATGACTGATAACTAAAAAATTATTTGGCTGATCTTTTCCAGACTTTGTAGGCATATTGTATGGGTGAAGATCGGGACCTGTTCAGATTAATCAGATTCAAAAATCAATCTCCGTTTCTTCAGAGAATTTCCGGAAAGGGCAGTGTAGTGATTCAACCGGAAGCACTGCTGCCTTACACTTCCATGGTTAAGGATTCAAATGTCACCTTTGCTTTCAGTGTGTGTAGTTTTTGGATCCCCTTTGTGTCACACGGGTTTCTCTCCATGCTACAGATTCCTCCTGAGGTCTAAAGACATACGGCTTCACTAATTTAAGCATATGTGTGTATGTGCCCTGCAATGGACATCCCCTAAAGGGTACACCCCGACCCTGTGCCCAGTGCTACCTGAAACAAGTTCTAGACTATCCTGAGTAGGATAATTGGTTAGAAGGTGGATGGTTTTTTTTTTGTAGAATTAAACCAGTTGTTATATAAATTGTTGTCATCACATGTGATAGCATTCAAGTAAAATGTAGTGACCTGTCTTCTCAGGGCATTCCTGGATCTCCTGGTTGCCAAGGACAACATGGACTGAAGGTATGCTTTAGTATCTTTCTTTTAAAGGAAATGCATGAATGTGTGTGAATTACAACTCTTTGAGAATGGTCTTTTTCAGGGATCACAAGGGGACTTTGGACTTCCTGGTTTGTTTGGGACAGAGGGACCAAAGGTGAGTCCTACTAGAAAAATTCCGTTTCAGCAAATTATTGGGGCATTAAATTCACCTCTCAGTACTGTGGTACTCACCTCTCAGTACTGTTTTATTAAAGGGCTTTCAAGGAGATCCAGGTGTACGAGGAACCCCGACATTTGAATTCCTGAATCACACAGGTAAATGAATGAGCCTAATAAGGCATATAGTGTAGCTGACATGGGAGTGGGGTGTGGGGTGTCGGTTCCTCCCCCAGGTAGCGTGTAACAACTCCAAGGTGGGAGATTTTAAAATCAGAAGTCTGAAGTCTGTCCTGGCTGTTGATGTTGAGGGAGGGAGAGAGAGAGAGTGCCAGCGAGCACAAGCTGTTTGCAAAAAGACTGTGACTTACTACATACAAATATAACTACCCCCATGTGAAGCAAATAAATGCAGAAGAAATGGGCAGACATAAAGGGCCAAATTATTTTTGCCAGATGACTGAGTCAGAACACCTCTGAAACAGTGAGGCTTGTGGGGTGTTCACAGCCAGCCATGATGAGTACCTGCAGAAAAAATACACTTTCGGTCCTAAACTTTTTGTGTTTTCTCATCAAAAATGTTTACATTATCAGTGCTGATAAATATATGGAACCTTATAATGGCCAATTTTATCAGCTGACCAATGTAATGGTTGAAACCTAATATTTAAATACATGTTTTTCTTTTCCTTGCAGGACATCAAGGGGACAGAGGACCACCTGGCCCATTAGGGTGTCAAGGAGACCCTGGGACCATGGGCTTCATAGGACATCGAGGACCCCCCGGAGATCTGGCATGTGGTGAGAGCTGCAGAATAATAGAGCATTTCCATAAAATGGGAACTAGAACGAGATACTAAAAGAACTTGTTGCTAGGATGCTGTTACATTAATTTTCTCATCAGGCCCTGCTGGCCAGCCTGGAAAGCCAGGGTGTCCAGGCCCCCAGGGACCAAAGGGGGAGACCAAAGTAAATTGCTTTGATGAATTAAAAGTAGGATGCCCAGGAAAACAAGGACTTCAAGGACTGAAAGGTGCCAGAGGTCCTCCTGGCCCCCCAGGTACATTATTCATCCACTAATCAGAGTATTCACTGATGTAGACATTTCCACCTGCCATGTCTACTCAAAGACATATATCTCCATCTAGCTCATAACAGATTAAGAACTCAGGATATTTCTTAGAGAAGAATTATATCTATGAGAAATACAACAAAATGTATCTAATACACTTACAAAGTGGGTATTTTGTATCAATATAAACTACAAAATATAGCCACCAAGCAAAGTATCAAAATAAACTACAGTATTTTGTATTTGAAAAATATAGGGTTGGACAATGAAATTGAAACATCTGGTTTTAGACTACAAAAATTTTTTAGTATGGCATAATGCCTCCTTGTACGACCAATACAGCATCAATTTGTCTTGGGAATGACAGATACAAGTCTTGTACAGTGGCCAGTGTGATTTTGAGCCATTTCTCTTGCAGTGCAGTGGCCATGTCACTACATGATGCTGGTGGAGGAAAACATTTCCTGACTTGCTCCTCCATAACAACCCAAAGTGGCTGAATAATAATCAGATCTGGTGACTGTGCAGGCCATGGGAGATGTTCAACTTCATTTTCTGTTATGGCGGGGCATTACAAAGGAGGGACATGTAGCGACTCTCAAAAGGGATTTATTAAAAAACAGAACATAAATGGAGAACCAGAAAGTAAGGAATTACATGGGGTCAAAACAAGACAGGTAAAACAACTACAAGGTAACAACTGAACATCGAAACACAGGGCAAACAGCCACAATGATCAACTAAGGAACAGAATGAGGGCAGGTACTTAAATATACACAGATAACAAGGGCTAACAAGGGATAAGTGTGGACTATTACAAACCAGGGGCAACAAAGAATACTGTAGGTGAGGTCAGTAAAGTTATAGAGGACCAACACCAAGACTAGAAAACAAGGGTAAATAAACATTACTAATAACAAGGGACAACAAAAAACCATAACACAAATGCATAGATCAAGAATATACAAAAACAAACAATCAAAAATACAAACATAGTTCAGGCCCTAAGCCACGCCAAAAGCCTCTAAGCCCACTGCAAAGGTTGAACGGCACTGGTCCCCAACTTGGAACCAGTGCCACATTTTTCCACTCGAAAAAAATTGGTGCCAGTGCCGCAAATTCAGCTATGAAGTTTTGGAGATATCAGTTGAAAAAATGTTGGGCTTCTCTCAAATATGATGAGAGTGAATGGCATTCTTTCTGTGGTGATTAAACGCCAGAAAAATGCATCTGAAAAATGCAAGAGCAACATCTCTTACAAGAAATCATGACCCAGTTACTCAAGATTATCCATAGACTCTGCAGTAAGCAGTTGACTGTAGGAAATATTTTCTTCTACCGAACCCCACACATCAATCTTATCACTGCACAGAAGATTTTAATTGGGATGCTCGTGTTTGTATCTTAATTGAGAGAATCCAGCCATTTCTATGGCAAAACTACGCAACTCCCAGCATAACAACGTAGATGGATAAATATCACTTAGACCCCTCTAAGTCATATTTTTGTCATGAACTTGAGTGGTTAGGACGTGAGAGCAAGGAGATGACTGCATGAGGGGAACTGGAGGGTGACAAGGAGGTGGCTGCAGGACTGGGGTCCACTGGACAGGGACCTGGGTCTGGGCGGTTGGCCCGCCTGGTGTGTCCCCGTCTCCCCTTTCAGGGAGCAGAGAACCAACCTGGCCCTCTGTTGGGCCTCCACCTGTGCCATATGCCAGCTAGGGTGGAGGCAGGAACCTGAAATGGGGGACTCAGGTCCAGATCCGGGGGGTCCCACTCCAAGTCCTCACAGGTAGATCCATCTCCACTAACTTGTGGGTAGCCTCCGGCTGCGGCTGCCCCCTGTGGGCCGGGCTCGGGAAACCGGGGTGGAGCGACGGCTGTGGCAGCCCTCTGTGGGCCGGACGTGGGCAGCTCGGGCGGAGCGACATGGGCGGTGGCTGCGACTTCCCCTGGGCAGGGCTTGGGCATTGCGGCACCGGCTGCGACTTCCCCTGGGCAGGACTCGGGCATTGCGGCGGCTTTGAGGTGGGGCAGGTGTCCCGGAGCCTGGGGATCGTCCTGATGAGCGGTTCGTCCTGTCATGAACTCGAGTGGTTCATTGATTGTGACTGTTAGATGTATGTCCTGCTTACCTGCCCCGTTTTTGTAATTAGTCTTTGTTTATTCCCATGGTCCTTTGTTTTTGTTAGTGTTTTCTTGTGTTTAATTCATTTAATAAACCCTTCTGTTGTCCCATGAAGCTGCCAGTGGGTCGTCCACCATTTCTACCTGCATCATGCCTCGGCCTAACGCCAAATCCGTCCGAGTTTATGACAATTTTTGGGTTAAACTGCCCCTTTAAACAAAGAAAATGGTACAAAGCAAATCTGGAGTTAAGTTGGTTGTGGTTTGTAACATGGTCACAGTTTTGTCACCAGGCTTCCACTGGGATCTAAAGTCAGTGGAAATGTAGGCTGGTTCTTGCTGGTTCCCAACTTGAGCAACAGTACCAGCACCGGCACCAGTGCAGTGGAAAAGGGGTATGGGTGAAAGCCACCTGTTTAGCCCATTAAGTGACGTGGTGGCCAGGAGAACAGTAAAACAGTAGGAGCTAACAACCTGGGAAATAATGGGAAATGGGATGACCAGGGATGCCCCCTGGCAGGACCAGGGCAGGACAGGATCCAATCCTGACAGTTTTCATGTTCATCAAACCACTCTGTCACCAGTCTTGCTGTGTATATTGTTTTATTATCCTCCTGATATACGGCACCACTAGGGTGCAGCGGTTGAACCACTAGGTGCACGTCTCTCACTGGTAACACCGTCACTTTGGCTCTGTTCACACCTGTATTTACATGCGTCCTGGATGGTCCAATCACAAATGGACAGTGGTAAATACGTATGAGAATGCACCCAAAAGACGAATAGAGATCTGATCGCTCAAACCGCATTCAGAGGTGGTCTGGGCCACATATGGCCACAAGTCGCGTGCGGCATTGATGGACCAGCTACTCAACTGATGTCCTCCTGTTAGTGGAAGTGTGTACGTACTAATTAAATTTTCAAATGGTATTTCACATATGATTTGTCAGAACGTATGGCAGTGCAAAATAGGCCACTGTGAACTGTATTGCAAGCACAATGCATCTTTTTCCCACAACAGAAAAAATAAGTTTGAATCTACTGGTTTAATTTTTAGTTAACAACTTTAATTTAAAGTTGGTTTAATATCGGACTGTCATGACCCATTTGCATGGAAGCGTTGTCAATGTTCCACACAAGAGGAAACAGGAAAGTCGAGGTGTACATTTAATTCTGCAGTGAGTTGCACAGCTGTGGTTTCATGTTTTTGGGATACAGTTTGGGTTAGTGGCAGGACATCTCTTTCAGACAGCTTCCTCTTATATTCACAGTTACTCCTGTTGGATGTGGTCCATCCTTCATAGTGGTATGTTGATATTACCCTGAATACTGTGGCTCTCGAAATATCAGAAAAATTGCTGTCCTGGTCACATATGCACCAGTAAAACGTGCACCAACAATTTGTCCTCTTTTGAACTATAATATGTCTCCCATTATGTTGTGTAGGTTTTTGTTCAGCTGTGCTATTGCTCTGCTATTTCAACCTTCACACTCCGCTCTTACTGATGGAATGGGCAGTTAGTGAAGATTGGTCATCAGGCCGCGTATATATAGGCATGAAACCTCAAACACTATTGACCATGTGTTTCTGTTTCATTGTCCAACCCCTGTACGTTTTGCATACTTCTGTTGTATATCAGCCTGTTCCTTCACAAACAATCTCCCCTTATGACCCAGTTCCTCACCTGTTTTGCATGCTGGCGAAATGTACTTGGAATGCATGTAATTCTTTGCTTTGTCTTCTTTTGTTGTGTGTTTGTTCTGTGATATTTGGGTTTTTGTGCTGTGACGGTGGACAACAATAAGGTTGTGGAGGTGAGTATTATTTTTACTTATAGGGTCCACCTGCAGACAAATATCCATTACATGTATCCGTTGCATATATCAGTTACAAAATGTTCTGTTCTTTTTAAGCACATGTATACGAGGCGTGTTTGTGATCCATGCATTTGTGCTATTTATGATTTTTTTTATTTAGGGGCATGGTTTCTTAGTGGTCAGCACTGTGGTCAGGCTGCCTCTAGTCTGGATGTGCATATCATTGTAATTTTGTGTACATACAATCAAGCTGATTGGCATTTCACATTGTCCGTTGAATGTGTGCACATGTGTGCCAGGGTGTAGGGCTGCTTTGTTCAAAGTACCACCTGCAGTAAGTTGCTGACCCCAGGATAAGTGGTTGCAGGGTGTGTTTCTGTTTTCATCAGTATGTAGTGCTATAATGAGAGGGACAGATATTAAAGACATGAGAAGTGCAGTTGGTATTGTGAGAGTAGTAATGTGTGCTGACTGTGCCTGCAGGTTATTACTGCATGCCAGGATCCAAGGGGAACCCTGGGTTCAATGGAGAGCCTGGTGTGCAAGGTACAACTGGAATCAAAGGATGCAAAGGATTTCCTGGAGAGTGTGCCTGTGGTGGCCCTTTAGAGATTAAGGGTCTGTGTGGCGTTGTGGGACCACAAGGCCGGAATGGTGACCTTGGCTGTACTGGATCCCCTGGAAAACAGGGCAGCAAAGGGCTCCTTGGAGAAATTGGATGTCCTGGTCAAAAAGTGAGGACAACTTCCTTTCTGCTATTCCTTCTGGCAGCACAGATATAATTTATTCAAATAAACTGAATATGTAATTGATTTGAAATTTTGATATTGATTTATTAATTATATTTTAGACTTCTCTGTCACCACAGACAATCATTAACCCTCTGGGGTTTAGGGATAGGAAACACACTTTCACTTACTGGGGCATGATCACACATTTCTTCAAATATCATAAACTTAATTCATGGCAAATACATTATTTCTTATATATTTGTTTTGCCATTAAACTCATCTTTATTTTAATGTACTTTGTAAATATGTCAGATTTTTGTTAAGTTTGTAATTTGACATCAAAGTATAGAAATTGCAAAATGCAGTTTGGAACACTTGCAGAAACATAATAAAAGTACATTTTGATCCCAGATATCTGATCACCGTGTAGTTGCAACATTCAGTTGGATAAATAAATAAGAAAAAGCTAACTCATGCCACTATTTCTGGCTCCTTTCATTGAATATGTAGCAACTTTCATGTGTATGAATGAACCATTGACAGCTGGCCACGTCCCCAACCCCCTTTTATGGCACTGATGGGGATGTATCTGGATCGGGTTTCACCGCTACATTGTTAATCAAATTACCATGCCAATGCGATTTGAATACACGTTAATGCGGCTATTTAGAATGTGAATAGCGATCTTCGGGTCAGAGCAGTACTACACGCCCCCGATACAGGTAAAACAAAGTAAGGTGATATGGTTTACTTTTTTGCCGATTTAACCTAATTTTAAAAACTTTAATACTTCCGACAATAGACGTTTTGAAAAGAAGACAGATTACGGATTTATCCAGTGTTTTGTTTCATGATTCTATCTACATTAAGATTTCAGCAAGATATAAACTGAAATAGACACAAAAAGTACTCTGCGTCGCTGACGATGCACTCGACCCCAGAGGGTTAAGACATTAACTTAAAAAGTATTTCATGAATCTTTTTTTAATTTTGCAGAGGCATTGTATGCGAGCAGAAATGGATCAAATTTTGAGACAAATCGCAAAATAATTGAAGCAACGCTGCTTAGTGGCCGCGAAGGGAAGATGATTGACCTTGTGAATAGCTTAACTCTGTTTAATGTCATTTTTCAATTTACTCTATCCTATACTCCATCTTTGATGGATCTTATTACCACTTCATAAAAAACATTATATGGCTGAAAATCTACACCTGATATACCTGAAACAAATTGAGAGGCAGCAGGGCTTGGTGGCAGCAGAGGGCGAAAAGGGAGGCTCCATCTTGTTTACACAGTAATATGAAGGCATCTACATATTTGAAACTTCCTTGGAACATAGTATAGATCAGTAGTTGTCAATTTTGTGCACTAGATGATTTTCTGAATATTACAAACTATAGTTTATGGGTCCTGGGTATGACGTTAAACTGCATCAGATCCTGCAAGCAGTCCTCCAAGGGAAACAATTTCTTTGGGGGTTGGAGGAGGGATTAGCACTCCAGCCACCGTAAAAAAAACAACTGCTCGATTTAAACAAGCACGATACCTTTCTGCTCTCCGCAGGAGTAGCACTGCTGCAGCCATTTGCAGTGAGGCTGCACACACCATGAATGGCATGGGGGAAAGCATTTGGGAGCCCCATTCCCAGACGAGTCGAAACCATTGGAGAGCCAATAAGGTCAGGCCTGTTGGGGATCTTGGTTGGTGTAGTGCTGTGGCGTCGCCTGCTGCATGGCGGCACTTGGTACAAGTTTGAGGCGACCCATCTGGGTAGGCGCATGGAAAGTCTTGTCTCTCCTATGCTGTCAGGGGAGCCTTGTAAACTCCGCATTTCGGTGGCAGCACTCTCTAAAGTACACAGACCGGGGAGTGGCCAAATCTCTGTAGGTGGGTATACCTACTTTTGGTCTGGTAGGTCTGATAGCTGCCATATTCAGGGAGTAGCTGTTGCTGTAGCGTTTCGGCACCTTGCGATGCTGTCTGATTTCACTACTTTCAATGAGCATATTATGAGACTCAGGCTAAGGCACTCCATTGGTGTCTTAGCTGTTTTCTCAGTGTATGCTCTGACCACAGTGAGTAATCTGTCATTGAGGGAGACATTTTACTTGTAACTTTGCTTAGTGGTTGAAGGGTCCCCACAAGATGACACTCCTCAGGTCATGGGTGACTTTAATGCGACCACTGGCACTGGCAATGACTGGGCTGGCTATGAGGACTGCATCGGTCCACATGGGTCTGGAGACCGGGGTGAAAGGGGCTCCGTGTTCCTTGACTTTGCGAAAGGTCAGGGGCTGCAGGTCGCTGGATCCTGGTTCCAATGCCCTGAGCCACATCATTGGACTTGCTACTCCATATACTGGTGGTGCGGCGAAGGAGATCGATTACATCCTCAAGAGTAGACTCTGGTGGCTCCTGCAGAATTGCAGGGTCTACAGAAGTGCCCAGTTTGTGAATTATGACCACAGACTTGTTGTTGCTACTCTAAAGATTCAGCTTAAAGCCAGTAGGCTTCCACCTACTAGGAGAATGAGGCTGGACTTAGCCAGACTCCAAGATTAGGGTGTTTCTGATGAGTATGCACACAGTTTGTGTGAGGAACTTGTAGACTTAGGTGCGACTGTTGATTCTAATGTGATGTGGGAGACTTTTCGTGATAAGACCCTGAGGGTTGTGTTGGTGTTGCCAGTGTTCTCAGAAGGAGGCGTTTCATCTTGCAGGGCACCCTGGATATTATTGAGAGGATTTTCAGCGCATGACTTGATGGTGACTCCAGTTTGTACCAGAAACTGAGAAGGACGGCTGTGAGAGCTCTGAGGGCAAATAAGGAAGAATTTGTTAGATGAATCTATGAGCAGGTGACACACCTTCTGTGGACTAGTGATCCACGACCTGCTTACAGAGGAATCTAAGCATTACGCGCATCTGAATCTGTTCCTCGCAGACTTGCAGTCAGGGCGGGCAATGAGACTGTCCTTACGGATGACACTGCAGTTGTGACCCACTGGGCTGGCTACTTTGAGCAGTTGTTTAAAGCTGACCCTCCAGCTAGGATGTTGGACATCTCTGGGTCTACGGTTCTTGAAGCTGATCCTCCAATCAGCTGTGAAACACCCAATCTCACTGATACTGCACGGGTGGTGAATCACCTGGGAGTAGGGTAGGCCACAGGGATCTGTGGTATCCGGGGTGAATTTCTCTAGGCTGGTGGTAAGGCTGTCCTCCTGGCATTGCAGGCAATCTTTGCTTCCATTTGGGAGTCAGGCATCATCCCAACTGACTGGAAAATGGGACTTGTAGTCCCTATCTGGAAAGGGAAGGGTGATCGCTCCCAATATCTTTGCAAGAGGACGAAGGTCCAAGTCTTCAGTCCTGGTACGTGTTCCCTGTCATGCTGTATGGCTGTGAGACATGGACACTATCCAGTGAACTTAGATGAAGACTGGACTCCTTCAGTACTGTGTCTCTTCGGAGAATCCTTAGGTACCGCTGGTTTGACTTTGTGTCAAATGAGCGGTTGCTAGAGGAGTACTGAATGAGGCACATTACATGCATTGTGAGGGAGCATAAGTTACGGCACTATGGCCATGTGGCATGTTTCCCTGAGGCTGATCCGGCTTGCAGGACCCTTATTGCTGAGGACCCATGCGACTGGACCAGGCCAAGGGGAGGCCCATGTATCACCTGACTGAGGCAGATGGATGGCCATTTCCGGAGGGTGGGGCAGGATTGTGTGTCTGTCAGGGATTGCTGGCCAGGATCGTTGGGTACCATGGGGGATCCCAAAGGAGTTTCGCCGCATGGTGGCAACACATCAGTGCATGCTCCCCAACCTGACTTGACTTGACTAGTGCCCTTCGGCTCAGCAGATTTTATTAGTAGTAGTTGAGTACCCGATCAGCAAAATTTATTGCGGGGCAATTTAATTAAAGTTGGGCTTTTAAAGAAGTTTTTTGGAGCAGTGGGAAGTGTGTATAGAGTAGGTTTGGCCAGTATTACGGTAACATTTTTGTTATACTGCAGTGTTTTTGTTCAGTGACATTTATTGTGGTTGAACTCCCCCATATGGAAAATTTGGTACTCCCACGCTTACTGTAGATGGGGCTAGATATAGAGGTTGGGGCTATGGAAGTAGTAATGATTAGATAAGTGAGAGGCATGGGAGAGTGACAGGCAATCTAGACAATACATCATTGTCATTTTTTTGACAGCTTTTTTGTCACAATAACAAAAGCTTTTGATGGCAAAAGAAATTTCAATGCATACAGTGCAAAATCAAAAGATATTACTGGGAAAATTACAGAGTTTATCACACTTGATGATAAGGCCTTCTCATTTATAAATGTTCTAAACATACAAGATGTATACAGTCATAAAATATAGTGTTCTGAGACTGTTGTGTATGCAACAACCGTCAGTGTTTTCTTACCAAAAAAAAAATACCGTTTCGCTGTTTTGGAATGTAATCGGTTAATTTTTTTATTTATTTGGGTGGAGTGTCCTTTTAAGCTTATTTTAGCAGAACCTCCCAAACAGTCTGTATCAGTGTCGGTTTAGAAAGTGTATCAGAATTGGCCAGAAATTTCCTTATCGGTGCATCACTACTTTTAATTCACTGCATCGCAGTTCCAGTGAGTCAGAAGTTTTAGTACTTAGTAGCATTGCCTTTAAATTGTATAACCTGGGACAAACATTTTGGTCAGCCTTCCACACGCATCTTACAATAAGTTACTGGGATTTTGGCTCATTCCTCCTGTAACCGAGTCAGGTTTGTAGGCCTCCGTGCTCGCACATGCTTTTTCAGTTTTGCCCACAGATTTACTGTTGGATTGAGGCTGGGCCTCTTTCATGGCCACTCCAATACCTTGACTTTGTTGTCCTTAAGCCATTTTGCTACAACTTTTGAAGTACTGGGGACATTGTCTGTTTGGCAGACCGAGCTGTAACATCCCAGCTAATGATGTTACTTCAATGTATTCACACAAACATAACAATGGTCAATTATGACCAAACTGTTCAAGTTTGGTTTCTTCAGAAACAAATCTTACTTTTTGGAGAAATATCACCTGGTCTGATGAAACAAAAATTGAACTGTTTGAACTGTTGTGGTATTTTTTGGTAAACTCTTGCAGGGCTTTACAGGGCTCAAAGGTGATAAAGGACTGAAGGGTCAGAAAGGAGAGCCTTTCATAATGGACATTAAAGGTAAGAATTGAAGGGATCTTATCAATTCATCTAGTCGTGTCAAAGATGTGGTAAAAAATATTCGGACTGGTTTAACTGTTTATTTAAGGTGTGAAGGGTGAGCAGGGTGTTTTAGGACCCCCTGGCTACCAAGGACGCTTTGGGAAACAGGGGCTCAGTGGAACGGAAGGTTCAATGGGAGATCCAGGCAAAGAGGTAAGGTACCCTACTAAAAATCTTAGTAGAAGTTAACTTATTATTTTTAACTTATAGTCACATACTGTAATATCAATTAATGAATGTTAATGCATGATAGCTGCCTCTTTCCACAGCTCCAAGCAGTTATGTTTTCTTTCATTTTGTTTCTTTGCAAGGCCAACAGATGAAATTAACTGGCCTCCTGCGTATGTTGCAGGGGTTGATGTGGTCTCTCTATCTGTATGTCTTATATTGTATTGTCAGTGATTTTCCAGTGCTCTAACTCAGGTCATTTTCAAATCATTGATTCCATTGTGAACTTCACGATAAATATATAAACTTCACTGATGCAGGCACTGTGTTCTAATTTATCTTATGTTTTATGACTTGATGTTTTAGGGAGATTGTTACCCAGGGTTTCCTGGTGACAGGGGATGCAAAGGATCTATAGGGGACAAAGGAGTGCCTGGAGAACCGGGTCCTGCAGGCACTGGAGTCATGGGTGCGATTGGAGAACGTGGACCTCCAGGTGACTCTGGCCTATTAGGAGCACCAGGACCCCCTGGACCTAAAGGTGTCCAAGGTAAAGTTGATTTTGTGAGTAGTTCAGCATATAGCTCAAAGTGCTGCATATGAAGAATAAATGGGCAAGGCAATTATGAATATCTGAATGTCCCTTATTCAGGTGACACACTGCCATGCCTTCCTGCTAACCCAGGCCCCCCTGGACCCAAGGGGAAGTGTGGCATTTCAGGTTTGTCCTTTTATTTAGGAAATCAAAATATTTTCCTTTTTCTGTTTCTGACACTGATGCCCACCGTTGAGAACTTTTTGGTGAAATTTGCATTTTTATTTGCCCAGGAAGTATAGGATCACCTGGTATTCGAGGAATTGATGGACCTTGTGGACTAGATGGACTAAAAGGAGAATGTGGAGATCCTGGACAGTGTGGTTTGACTGGACCAAAAGGTACATAGTAAATTCCTGCCTGATCGGCAACGTGTCTTGTTGGTTCTATAAACTTACCAAAGCGACAATGCCATCTTTGCTAGGAGTGCCAGGCTGTGAAGGCGATTATGGTAAGAAGGGCCAGGATGGTACAAGTGAACCTGGAAAGCAAGGATCCCCAGGCCCAGCAGGCATTCCAGGGCTCCCAGGGCATCGAGGGGAGTCTTTGACTGGTCATAAAGGGTTACGTGGGCTCAATGGAAGTATAGGAGTATTAGGACCTAAAGGATTTCCAGGCCCAGCAGGACCACCTGGATTACAAGGTACTGTGTTAGCTGCTTAGCTCATCCTCTCCTATCAGCACAGCACTTCCCCTCTATCTCTATCTCCTCTTTGTAGAAGTTAATATTCAAAGAGACAGGCCTGTAGCAATCCAGGATTGCTAACTCTCACGCATCTGGCATGACACTCACGCTTTCAGACTCTCACTCAAGAAATCTTATGACAAATCTGTTTTATTCCATTATAAACCTAAAATAAGCTACATCAAAATTGTTGGGGTAGTTTGCAAACTCTACAGACTATTTTCAAGGTAATAAACATGCATGTAAATGAGTGTGCATGTATGTGCAGACTTGTCTCAAATTAAAAATCTCACTCCAGCCAGCTGATCAAAGTTGGCAACCCTGAATACTCAATAGCATATATGGGGGAAAAAAATTGTTGTACAGTATATCTGATGTCACTGCCAAACTGAGAGTCAGTTTCTCAGGTGCATGATTATAGTTCATGGAATGATTTTGCAATGCAGAGAGTGATGTGACTCCCTGTACTTTCTCCTGTACTCTTTTTGTTTGTATGTATAGTTTCTTCTGCCCTTATTTTACTGTGCACTTTTTATACTCCAATAAGTATACTGTAGATGGTCTGGTTCATCTATAAAAATTGGTTTATTCTTCTTGTGGCATTACACTAATACAATAGCATTAGTGGACTCCTTTGATGACTGCTAAGGCTCAGGGTGACCAAGTGAATACAAGCTAAGATGAAAACCAGTGTTCTTAACAATGGTTTGTCATAGTTAAGTAAGCAAGCAAGCAAACAGGCTAATTAGGTTTATGCACCATGAATAAATGAACAAATGTTAGGTAAATACACATATGACAACCGAGGAATACTTGCCTGATTGTTGAATATTGGGGACAGGGACCTGCTTAGTTGTTCTGAAATGAACAGCCAATACTGGTATGTCTTTTATTTGAATGGCTCTCAGACTGGGAAGAGATTTGATGCAATTTTGTTTTAAAACCCTCCAACATGTAGTGGAGGTGATTCTTTATTTATTTAAGAGTTGCGCTCCGGAATGACACTTCAAATTCTGTTATTTCCCTGCTTGCTAGTATATAACACCAGTAGGAGTTTTCAGGCTTCCTTACTGTGCTATTGCTCCTATTGTTACAATGAATAGTACTTGTAAACCATATAATAGTAGTTATTAATAATTTCAATGAAGGTATGCATGATGCACATTTATTCTGTGTCTGTAGGTTTCCCTGGGCTGCCAGGCATGAGTGGCTATAAGGGACAAAAGGGGCAGCCTGGAGCTCAAGGCCAGCATGGTCCTTCAGGAAAGATGCCAATGCAGTGTGACTGTGGACCTCATGGCCCAGGAGGGCCTCCAGGGTTTCGGGGTGACACTGGCCCTCAAGGTGTGTCTACTTGCATGACTATAGTCAATTGATAACATGACCATTGAATTAGCGGAATTTTTGTGCATCTTCATGAGGCCAGTGGTGCTGCAGAGTATCTCTTCACAGTGCTGATGTCATAAGCAGATGTTTCTGCTTTCAAGGCTGTGATGGGAAAAAAGGTGACAAAGGGGAGATTGGTGTTCCTGGTTATGGGTGCAAAGGCCTACAGGGGAACTGTGGCCCCCCTGGAGCCCCAGGATGTCCCGGATCTCAGGGGCCCCCAGGAGCATCAGGGGAGCCAGGAGTCTCAGGAAAAGTGGGGAAGAAAGGTCTGCAAACATTGGACAGTATAATTTACTTGAGAGATTTGCAGTAACACCATGTTTATAAAGATCTGTGAACACATTCATAACACATTACAGTGCAGCTTAAGAAGTATTATAATCAACACTATAATGCCTTTTGACTGTCAATAGAAGATGCTGTAATGTTTTATCAATTCTTATACCGACCATTATGATGCATTATAGGTATCTATAATGCATTATAGATGAGAACATTAAGTAAACTGTTACCACAAGGGTTAAGGACAGAACATGCACATAATCTTACAGTTATTCAAGCAAAACAACAGAACATGGCACATGAATGGGAAATTTCCAAAAGCATACACTCTGATTTTGTACTTGCAGGCATCTGTGGCGTGCCTGGTCAAGATGGATTAGCTGGTTGCCCTGGAAAAACTGGCTGTCTTGGGCCTCGAGGGAATAAAGGGGAGAAGGGCTTCAGTGGTCATCCTGGTCCCTGTGGGGATATTGGATACAAAGGAGTGAAAGGTAGTACCTAGAATATAAAAGTCACTTACAAACTGACAAGTGTTTAGCCTACCCCAGTAAATAATGACTGTTGTCTCATATCCCAGGTTTTCAGGGTGTACTGGGACAACAGGGAGGCACCAATGTGAATAACATTCCAGGTAGTAAAGGGTTCCCTGGACCGCATGGTTTGGATGGGACCCCTGGGCCCAGAGGTGAGGAAGCTGAGCCTATTCTTCAACTTGAGCTTAAGTGCTGGAAAGTAAGGTTGAGGTTGTTTAATTAGTGCTGAACATTTCAAGAACATATTAAAAGATAGTCAAGACAACATTGTGTCAGGTAGGGCTTCTGCTGAGATATGACTTAATTTTCTTACTGAATCCGTACTCAAAATCTATTTGTTGGTGTTGTACGGCCTAATTAGACTGATGTACCTCATTAACTGTCAGAGCATTATGGAAATAATCATGGTGCATGTCAGGAAAAAATCCATGTGATTGTTCTGTGTGGAATGTAGAGTGAGATGTGTTGGCTCTATAATTATGTGACTGAAGGAGTCAAAGGCCAGCCCGGGAAGTGTGGCCCTCCTGGCTTGAATGGAAGTCCTGGACCACCTGGCCCAGAGTGTGGTCCTCAAGGACCACCAGGAAAGTGTGGTGTACGTGGCTTATGTGGCCTACCTGGTTCTCGTGGATGCCGGGGTAATCCTGGATTCCGTGGTGAATGTGGAGACCCAGTAAGATTTGCAGCTTGTCTAAAGCTTATTTCATTTTCGTAACATTGTTCAATGATACTGAAGTTTTTGTATATTGTGATAGTATAATTGTGGTAATGTATAATGTAATGGTTGTGTAGCATGTGCTCATGTGCTAGATTCACAATATTATACTCATTAAGGTCTCTCTGCTAGGGAGACTGTGGGCCAAGTGGAATACCTGGGAATCCAGGTCCTACTGGTGCCAAGGGCTTGAAAGGTAGGCAGTCTGTGAAGCACACCTCTCCCCTGGGGGATATTCACAACATTAGTATGTTTAGATTTGTATTCATTTTGAGCTACAATTATGTGAATGATGTGGAGAAACTAGATTTGGTGCTCATTTGGTGTGCTCATCTAATCCGTACTCTTCCCACACTCACCAATTTGTACAATTTCTAGATGTACTGGATGGATCACCTGGTAATGTTAGAGTTATACGATGCAGCATATTTTTTGCATCTATTTCAGTTTATATCTAACTGAAATCTTAATGTAGAATCATTAGCAGAGACAGGAGAGGAACAACGCTTGTAGATGCTAATGAGAACAAGCAGAGACTGGGAAGCGCAGCAGCATTTGTGGATGCTAATGCTAATGAGAACAAGCAGAGACAGGAGAGGAACGACGCTTGTAGATGCTAATGAGAACAAGCAGAGACAGTGAAGAGAGGAGCAGTGTTTGTGGATGCTAATGCTAATGAGAATAAGCAGAGACTGGGGAGAGCAGCAGCATTTGTGGATTCTAATGCTAGTGAGAAGAAAAGTTTAATGCAGATGAAAAGTTTCATGTAATTAACAGGTATAGATAGAAAATGTTACACTGTTTCATATTTGACTAATTACTAGCAGATTATTGTTAAAGATCGAGTTGTGTCTAGTATGTCTGTGTTCTTTATGAGCTTCGGCACCTCTGAGTTTACAAAGTATGCACTGCCTATAGGTTACCAACAAATGCCTTATGCAAAGTTTCAAAGTGCCAACAATGTTGATCTAACCTGTTAATTGCAATTTTGACTAAGGGAACTGGGAGGGCATTGCACCCCCACTCCCCACAAACTCTGGCTATGTGAGAACAGGTGAATCTTGCAGGTCGTGAGCATTAATGTTATTGGTAGTCTACAGTATAATGACTTGTTGAGACACTTCCCAATCACCTTGTGGAAAAGCCTGCATTCCAGGTTTGTTTAAAATATATGATTGCAAGTCCATCTGTCTAGTCAACATTGCCTAGCAAAAAATATGTATGATACTCTAAAAGACTTGCAGAGAAGTACAAGGGCCAGCTACAAAAACATACCATCGAAGCATATCCACAAATAAGCTTTTGTCCATTCTCCATTAAAACAAAATATATGTGATAGATTTCTAATGAAGCACGGCATTAGTGAGTGTCTATGGGCTGTATTTATCAGGGGTTCAAAGGGAAAATTATCGCCAAAAATCAACAAAAAAATGAACATTCTAATTTACAGCTTACACAAGAGATTAGCTACAAACAACAAGGACAGTATTTACAAATCAAAGTATTTTTAACTCTTGGCTTTCTCACTCAGAGTACATTCCTGGCTGACAAAACAACAAGGAATATTAGGAAACTAATGACTTCATCCTGTCTGATGGCTGAACTCACATTTTTAACCCTCTGGAGTCTAGGGGTAGGGAACACACTTTTACTAACTGGGGCATGGTCACACATTTCATTCAATATCATAAACTTAATTCATGGCAAATAAATTATTTCTTATATATTTGTTTTGGCATAAAACTCATCTTAATCTTAGTGTGCTTTGTAAATATGTCAGATTTATGTGAAGTTTGTAATTTGACATCAAAGTATAGACATTGCAAAATGCAGTTTGGAACACTTGCAGAAACATTATAAAAGTACATAGTAAGCAATGCTGCAAGTTTGTTTTGATCCCAGATATCTGATCACCAAAGACTTGGCTACATGAAGATGACTAAATGGTGTAGTTGCAACATTCAGTTGGATAAATAAATAAAAAAAACAAACTCATGTCACTATTTCTGGCTCCTTTCATTGAATATGTAGTAACTTTCATGTGTATGAATGAGCCATTGACACTTGGCCATATCCCTCCCCCCCTTTTATGGCGCTGATGGGGATGTATCTGGATCGCGTTTCACCACTGCATTGTTCATCAAATTACCATGCGAATGCTAATGTGGCTATTTAGAATGTGAATAGCGATCTTTGGGTGACAGTGGTACTACATGCCCCCGATGCAGGTAAGACAGAGTAAGGTGACATGGTTTACTTTTTTACCAATTTAACCTAATTTTAAAAACTTTAATACTTCCGACTATTGATGTTTTGAAAAGAAGACCGATTACGGATTTAGTCAGCATTTTTTTCATGTTTCTATAATAAGATTTCAGCGAGTTATGAAGTGAAATACACAAGAAAGATACTCGGCATCGCCGACGATGCCGTCGACTCCAGAGGGTTAATGGGTAAATGTGGATAATCGCTCTTCTTTTTAAACATACTCAGACACACACATATACAGCTGAGGGCAAAGCTTGGGATCCAACTGCATGGTAAAGCCATTTCTGCGGTGACCCTGGAGCATTTTCTGTGGTAAATTTCAGCAAATTAAAATACCGCACACCTGACACACTGTCCCAATGTCTCCAAAAAGGAAGTTGACATTGTAGGGAACCATCCAATGGCCCAATGGCAGAATCAAATTGGACAGCCGAAGGGTTGGAATGTGTGTAGGTCCTTCCGAGTGGTCCTGCAAAGTTACTTACCCTTTTAGGTAAAACCGAATTATATCTGACTCCAATTTAATTAAAGACCTTTTATTATGTTTTAGTCATGACATTTCTGTTTTTCAGATTACTCCTGGGCTTTGCCTTCTAATGCTGAACTCCCATTAATCCCGGACAGTGGAGTACACTGGATTCACCTTTGCTGATAGGGCGATCTGCAGATCTGTTACATAGGACTCTGTTCAGAAGTTGGGAAATCACAACAATTTAACACAGTGTCAGCCTAGACGACCGTTCAGGCCCAGCAACATATAACTCCTCAGAGGCTCAGCCGACACTTGCCATATCTGAGCTTGTGAGCTGGTCTTTTCCGTAACTCAGTGTGTGCGCGCCTCAGAGGCTGAGCCAGTCTTTTACTGTAACTAAGCATGTGCATGCCTCAGAGGCTGAGCCGGTATTCACCATAACTCAGCTTGGGCAGTTGCATCGGGTCCTGGAGAAACGGGGTCGAGTTAGAGGCTGCAAGATAGTGTTAGATGTAATGAAACTAATATACCCGAGCTAAATGTCAGTTTGACTTTGATTGGGGAAATAACCCCTATCTAGCAGAAACATACAGTAGTTAGCAAAGTCAGACAGCCAAGAAGTAATCAAAACACAGTTTATTCCCAATTAATACAAGACACACCAATTTAACCAAATATAACAATACTCTAATTCTAACATGTGGCCACTAATTCCTAAACTATACCATCAAGTCAAAACAATTACATACCTCAGCTCAGTGGGCACAGAGTAACTGCAGAAAATATCTGATTACAGATGTAGATTCATGCAGCACTATGTGAGAGCTCTGATTATAGAGTGTCTCCCTTTGCTACTCTGGAGCTCTTCCTTAAGTAAGAACATTGGAAATTTACAAACAAGAGGAGGCCATTCGGCCCATCAAGCTCGTTTGGGGAGAACTTAACTAATAGCTCAGAGTTGTTATCTAGCTTTGATTTAAAGGAACCCAGGGTTTTAGCTTGCGCTACACTAGTAGGAAGACTATTCCATACTCTAACTACAAGCTGTGTAAAGAAGTGCTTCCTGAAATTCATTTTAAAATGTTCTCCTGCTAATTTCCACTTATGGCCATGAGTTCTAGTATTTAAACTAATATTGAAACAGCATCCAGACCTGTTAAAATCTTATATACCTGGATCATGTCCCCCCCCCCCATATTCTCCTTTGCTTGATGCTAAACAGATTTAGCTCAGCTAGCCTCTCCTCATAAGACATTCTTCTAAGACCAGGAATCATTCTCGTAGCCCTACGTTGCACCTTTTCCAAGGCAGGAATGTCCTTCTAACACACAATATTCTAGGTGGGGTCTTAGCAAGGAATTATATAATCGTAGCATCACCTCCCTTGACTTAAACTACACACACCTAGAGATGTAACCCAACATTCTATTGGTCTTTTTTTAATGCTTCCCCACACTGGCGAGAGTGGGACATGGAAGCATCAACATACACACCGAGATCTTTCTCGTAATCAGCTACCTTTATTTCAGTGGAACCCATGAAATATCTGTACTTTATATTTCTGCTCCCTGCATGGATTACCTTACATTTATCTATGTAAAATTTAATCTGCCAGGTATCAGCCCAGTTGCTGATTAAATCCAGGTCCCGTTGTAGCCTCTCTGCTGCTAGATCAGTATCTGCTACACCACCTGCCTAGAATATTGTGTGCAGGTTTGGTCACCATACCTTAAGAAGGACATTGCTGCCTTGGAAAAGGTGCAACGAAAAGGTGCAAGTATTCCAAACCAAGTGACAGAATGTCTTTGAAGACTAAATTTCCTGACCAAATATTGTGATTGATTATTTTAGGGACTTGATCTTGTGTGTGTGTCCTGGAGAACTGCTGATCTTATCAATTCTCAGACTCTCAGCCAATCAAATTGCTTTAGGAGGAATGTGGGAATTCCAGGTGATAAGGTTGTCCACTTTGGTGGGTTTAGTCTTATTTTCTATATTTCTCTTATGTGAGAACATAGTGCTTTTAGGTTGAGAGTATTGTACTCGTCGTACTGTGACCATTCAAACGAGACCAAACATGGGTGTATGTGTCCCTAATGTTAGTCTGGGGTAATACCTCCTGTGTTCATGTGAGTTAGTGAGTGTAGGATGCATCTGTGTTTTGAGGCAGCCAGGCCTTGTCGCTGGAATTTGGCTGTGGGGTTCTGGCTGCCCAGTGGGGGTGAAGTGTCCCTTTTGATGTGGTGATCTGGTGATTTGGGTCCAGTGTTGTCAGAGCCCGTGGACCTTTGCCTTAGGACACTGGGTGAAACATTGCAGGTTTGTCAGAGTTCAGAGCGACGGGGCCTGCAAGGCCTATAGCCTTACAACATGATTAAGATCTCCCACATTAAATTTAGCCAAATTACATACCCTGGGGTCACAAGAGCACTAGCCAACATCCCAACTAATAAGCT